TGTAATGTCTTGTCCTATGTTAATATTCTGCCTGCCTGGAATGCTCACTATATACTCTCACAAACTAATAAATCTCCATGTAAATCTGGATCATCGACTTATTATTTGCTGACCGCATAATTATCCATGTGGTGTCTTGTGTAGATGAGATATTTTCTATAGTGTGTATGTGTATATGCTCATTTGTTTATAGTAGAAAAGAGAAATGGAGTGAAACAACTTGGTATAGATATTTCCCCTTTAGGTCATTTGATATAAAGCTTTTAGCAAAGCAATATGAATATATCGTATGTTAATTTTCTTTAAAAAAGTACCAAGTATTAAATATCAGGTTTAAAAAAGTTGTACTATATTTATTGTTTGAGGAGAAAAGTTTGTACAATCTTAAACCTTCAAAAGATATTGTCAACGAGGCTTTTACCAATTGTTTTAATGTTTTATTCAATAAGATCATCTTTTTTGGTCCACAGTTGAAAGTTCTTCGTTGCGTTGCGTTTTCTAAGCTGGATGGTTTAATCGTGAAGCTCTTCTTGTCATCTAGACAACTTCATCAGTACTAACTTCAGTATGAAGTAAGCTGTCAATATCTCTCCGTGAGTGACTCTGTAATCTGGTCTGACAAAATGGTTTGTGATTGGTAGTTTCCTTTGATTGCTGTGTCATTGACTACATAGGTTTTCCTGTCGACTGTTTCCTTGCCTTATCTCTAACCTTGAAGTCGTTTATCATTCTTCTTATTGGTAGGTAGATTGGGTCTATGTCCATACATCTATTGATTGCCGACTGACCTGAATGCCAAGCTTCTAGGAATTCCCGGATATTTTATATTTCCTCTGTCTGAGTTCCCTATATGTTCAAAGGTAAATTCATGCCCATGGTTGTTTACAAAATTTGGTGATGTTTGATAGGTAATTGATGTTTATGTAAAGGCAAAGAGAGTGACCAATTTGTCCAGTGTAGTGCTGTCCGCACTTGTTGCAGTTGGTTTTGTAAATGGTATCTAGTTTATTGTTGACTGTTGCATCCCTTTGGTCTCCATCATATGGTTTGGAGGGAATTTCTTGGTTTATGAGTCATATCAATTCCAAATGATCTCTTTAGTCTTGTCGTGATCTCTGGCATACTCTTTATATATGGATAGATGATATGTTTGCTGAGTTTTGTGAATGACTTTGTAGTTTGTGATGAACGGTATAATCATCTTCTGATGAAGTTTCGTGGATAACCGTTCTTTAGGGCAGACATCAAGTAATTTTATTCGTTTCTCCATGAAGTTGTAGTGAGGTGTATTTTCGCTCTTTTCAATAATATGCGTCCGCAACTAATTTTGTGCGTCGTTGAGTTGTTTTTACTGTAGTTGAGGATTTATTCGGTATGTTCTGACTTCCGGTACACTAAAACACCTAGGAATTGCGGTTTGTTGTTCGACTTCCTCTTGCTTAGGGATTTGATGTCACTGAAAAGGTTGTTGTTTAAACTGTAAATGTTTTCTGATTCATCCTTTTTATTGGTAACAGAAGTATCATCCACATAGGCGATTCAAACTTTCAGTTTGATCACTGGTGAAATGGTGGCTTCCAGTCTCTGCATTACTGTAGTCAGGGATAAGGAAGACTACTTCAAGAAGTCAGAGGATTTACTCAACCACGAGAATGTTTACCGACCCCTTAAGGTTAACCATCTCCAAACGTTGACAGCCAGACCTCCAAAACCATGAACAAGCTTGTCAAATCAGAAGAAATAACAAAGTATGGTGAATGCGATTAAATCCACTCTTCCTCCTTCGGTTTTCGGCAGATCAAACCCGACATCTCTGCTATCAATAGTCCCACTTCTAAGGACCTCATTGAACTATCTATCCAGAGAGTTTTCAAAGAGACTGAAAAACCGTGTGGAGTCATGCGGAAATTGCATCAAATCATCAACAGAATGTTTAAAAAGGATCAAAGGCAATAACGTAGAAAACAGTGAATTAATGGTATCCTTCTACGTCATAGGATTACATACATCATGCACATCTTGAACTGCAACTTGTTAAGGATTCTTTATCTCTTCTCCTCACTGACGAAATAAATCTCTCGCAATGCACAACACTTCAGTGTTTACGTCTGACAGAACTCGTTGATCTTTCACTCACAACATCCAGTTGTGATTTATACAAACAGATGAGAGGAACTCTAGAGGATCACCAAAATCTGGATTAATTGCTGAAGCAGTAGTGCAGAGACTCGAATCTATCATTTTACCTATGATCAGACTGAAAGTTTGGATCGCCTATGAGGATGACACTTTTGTTACCAATAAAAAGGATAAATCAGGAAACATTTACAGTTTGATTAACACCGTTTCCAGTGACATCAAATCCCTAAGCAAGAGGAAGTCGAACAAAAAACTGCCATTCCTGGTGTTTTAGTTGGTAGGTCAGTTGATGAAGTTTAGTTTGTCAGTAACGTAAAGCTCACTGGCTGAAATCTCAGCATTTGTCAGGATGCTGTTTATAATCACTTCGAAAGATGAGTTGGGCGATTTAAATCAGTGGGTGAATTGGATGAATAGGGTTCATTGACTTCTTTTTCAGATATGAAAAACAGTGATGGTGTCGGGTGATGATCGCACTATATCGCGAATTGAAGAGAATTAAAGAATATGAACTGTTGGACTTGAATCCAGTAACTGAATAATAATACTCTCACCGCGAGACTTGGTGGCCCTTGACTTGATTCTTGGTAGGCTTAAAGTTGCGCGCTGCTAGTGAGTCACAATCTAGGACAAAATTGCTGCCCAGTGCTTCTAGATTTTCAAAGGTTTTTCAACCTGTCTTGGAACTTGATGAAAAGCTACTGTTTTTCTAATTAAAGCTAATAATGAATTTCAATGCATGTGATTTTGCATGTGTTAAATGAGTATAATTTTTATTAAAGTCAATTGATGTTTTACTTTATGAATAAGGATTCTAGATTTATTTTGTTCGACTCCTGAAATTCACATTGTTTTTTCAAATATTTAATATTTGGATAATGTATTGAATTTGAACAGTATATGTGTTTGCCTTTTTGGCAATGTAAATATTGAAAGTGAAATGAAAACTTAAAACTTTGGCAGGATTCGAACCAGCGACCACTGGGTTTCCGGCCCGGTGCTCTACTAACTAAGCTAGAAAATAGACCCAACTGTTGACCAGATATTTTTATTTTACTTCAATCACCAAGTGTTTTACCCAACTGCCATATGAATTCGTGACGCGTCGCCATCGCTTGATTGTACTCATACTGGCTATCCAGTCAGGACTTCTCATACTAGTTTGCCAGATCACTCCTATCTCAGATAGTCAAAATGATAATCAACATGATTCTCTTTCTAGTTCAAGTAGATTTGGATCGGGATGGGAAGTCCTGACAGCCACTGTACGTGTGATCAAGCGACAGCAACGCGTCACGAATTCACATGGCAGCCGGATAAAATCCTTGGTGACTGAAGTGAAATACAAACATATGATCAACAGTTGGGTCTGGTTTCTAGCTGAGTTAGTCGAACATCGGGCCAGAAACCCAGTAATTGCTAGTTCGAGTCTTGCAGCGGCCCAGATTTTCATATCATTTTCAATCATCACCTAGTATCAACACTGGTCTGCTGAACAATGGCCATCTCAGTTAAAATGATAATGTGATTGCTGCAATTATTCGCAGGACATTCTTAAATCTGAATGATTTTCAAGGGCACTGTAGCAACGGTAGGAGTTACCAACCCGATTTCGCTATTTTAGCTGAGAAGAAACCTAATTGGTTATCTCTTCAGTAGCCTTTAGGATCACTCCTAATTCTGTTTTTTTTGTCTTTATATCGTCGTTCATCTTTGTTTGTTTGAAAAATTCCTTCTTGCATGAATTTTTCGGGTTTGTTTCTTCTGTACCAAGATATCAGTAATCAATAGACAAATATTCTACCGATCGGTTTATTGTAGGTAATTCATCAAGTCTCTAAGGTCAAAAATTTTGGATTCTGTTTCACATTTTGGTGAACTTTGAACACGATTGGTTAACTCTTAGTTTAGCGAATGTAGATTTTGAATGATGATTGATGATGAAATGAAAACCTGAGTTTCTATAGGCCTTCACCTTCAATCATCACCCAGCATCAGTAACATCAGTCTTCTAAAGTACAGTTATCTCAGTGAATCTGAGTGATGATAAAAATAAAGATTGACTGACTTCTTGTTTAACATTTGGGAAATCTATTAACTGAATAGGAAACGCAACCAAAGGACAACTGAACTGATTTCAGAAACTTTACTTGTCAACGAGGTAATGTAAATTGGCTAGTATGTAAAGGTTTATATATATATATATATATATATATATATATATAACAACATACCTACATAAGCGGAACCAATCTTTGCATTTTGGCCAAAAATTGTGTAACAAAGCAAAGAATATGCACAAACAAAGGTTGAGCAAAACATGTATGAGGATTTTTGAGTTTTAAAACTTCTTTTCTGTATGTTTGTTACTGTGATTGTATTTATTTCATGTTTTGCAATTCAACAATATTTATCATAGTGTCGTAGTTACATCTAGATGACATCGATCCAAACTGTTATTATAGTTTCCTTTTTTTGAATAAGATTTAGTTAATTTTCGATTTCATTCAGTCGGTGATTATTTATCCAAGTTATCTGAAGATGGCTAATAACGTAACTGTAAATTAATTATATCGATTTAGATGGATGTACTCCACCGCTTTATCTTTTCACAAATTGTAGAAATTGTAATATTTTCGGACAAGTTACTGATTTTATTCTGGTGTTTTACTTTTTGTCTTTTTCATGTATTCATTAGTTGTAGGACTTTGCTCAACTGCATTTCATTGTTTTGTAGTAAAGCTTTACGATTTGATTTACTCAGATATTGTTTCATGGTCGAAATTGTAAACTACATGTATTCTGTTCAAGTTATTGTTTAAACCCGTTAGTCAGCCTTCTTTTTAATTATTCTTTTCAAGATTTGGTACAACTGTAATGGAATGGTCACCGTGTTCTATGCGTGATTTACCAGGTCTACTGAAATATGGAATGGGTGTTTGCCTGCATGATTTACCTACACGTGGAAGTGTTTCAGTCAGCTCCTTTTTGCCGAATTCTAAGTCAACCAAGAAAGGTAGTAATAGTAATCCCCAACTTAATACGTCTATTCCAAGTGTTGTACATATTTATGATTGGCAAAGTGAAAGTAAACGAATTCCAACTAGTCGTTTGTTGACTACAGCAAGACGACGTCATTCCATTCCATCTTCTAATCAGTTTGTGAATGGGTTATGTGGGAATGGACTATTGGATCCTGGGGAGGAATGTGATTGTGGTACTCGGTGAGTAATTTTTTTAATACTTGTTCTATTTTTCTGCTCGGAGTAATTATCTATCGTAAAGTGTCTTATTATATGATTTAAAATTATTCAAATAGCGTTTGTAAAATGATGCAGTAAGTAGTTGATGTGATTTTTTTTGGAGAGTTAGTACCTACTTTGATCAGTAGTAACGTCATTGATCGCAGCATTGGGTGACGTGCGTTCCTTGGAAGTTGCAAACCTAGTCAAGTTTCTAAACCTGGTTCAACAACTTTATCCACTGTAGCCTCTCATTTTTCTAGACTGATTCTAGACGTCTGTCTAGGAACAGCTGAAATTGAATTCATTGGGCAGATCTTCATATAATAAAGTTATTGGTCGTTTCAGGTTTTGTTAGGATGACCTTTGGAGTCACTCAGTTTTATGTTAAAAAGTCGATTATCGATAATAGACATTCGAACGAGGTTTGCCATGGCGGAAAAAAAACTCTAACGGAAGACCCGTTTGGGATTTGCCTACCTGTACCATCTGTGGCCGGGAAATCTGTGGCAACCTCGCCTAGTTAAGTAGTTCACTAGTTACTAGCCGGTTCCCTAAGCCAGGATAGAGAGGGAAGGTTGGGCATGGGGCTAGCAATCCTACCCGTAAAACCAATCCAATTGCTAAAGAAACTTCATAGCATAAGGAAAATATAAACCATAAAATTAAGCCTCTTCCTCTCTGGAAATGGGGAGGCGAACTGACGCCGGTTAGTGAAAGCCTTCGGGAAGCCAATTGGCCAATGTGTCTTCTCTCGATGAAAGCAAAAGTAATCTAAGCATAGGAACATAGAATGTCCACACCATGCTTGAAGCTGGCTGTCAAGGCTACTCAGATTTCAAAAGAGATCAGAAGGTATGGCATGGAAGTGCTTGGAATCTGCGAGTAACATGCAGATGGAATGGAAGTGGACTCTTTAAACTCCCAACTGGCGAGTCAATAATCTACTCCGATATTGTCACCTAGACGAAAACCACGAACACTGAGTTTTCTGGTGTCTATCATGATGTGCCCCTCCCGACAGCATCGAAGGCTCTCTCTCATGCATTGGGAACCAATCTCCTGCAGGATCAGAATCACGACAGCAAGATGGGTTCAACTCAAAAGGAAGGAAAGTCACAATCATACAATGCTATGCTACTCTATGCACCTACAAATAATGCAAATGAAGAGAAGAAGGAGGAATTCTACAGACAATTGCAATCAATGCTAGATAAGACTCCATTTGGCGACATCAAAATCCTAATGGGTGGGGCGATATGAATGCCAAACTGGGAGCAGACAACACAGGAAGGGAACTCATCATGGGTCGAGAAGCACTCAGTGAATGAATGAGAACGGAGAACTGTTTGCAGACTTCTGCGCATCCAACGATTTGGTGATTGGAGGCAGTGTGTACAAACACAAGAATATTCACAAGGCAGCGACATGGATTCGATTTCACCAGACACCATATGGACACACTAAAAATCAGATCGACTTCATCTCAATGTGAAGAAAGTGGAGACGCAGTCAGCCTACTGGACACAAGATCAGATGAGATGAGATGAGATGAAGGAGGGGAGCAGATGTAGCTTCACTCCACTCACTATATAGTCCAAAGGACATACCTTCAGAATCAAGTTGAAAGCCTTCACAGAAGCTGGTGATGATAGAACACAGTTCAAGTTCAACACCCAGAACATAAAGCGAAGGACGGAACTACAAAGGACGTCTTCACATCAGTCAGTCATCAGGACAAAATGGGAGACATTGAGCAACATTCCTGAAGAAACCTGTGTGGAAGAACAATGAAACTCTTTGAAAGAGACGTGGAAGGAAAGCTGTATAACCGTATTAGGAAGGAAGAAGAAGCAAGACCAGACAAGGAATGGATCTCTATGGATACGTGGAAGCTGTTAGAGGAGTGAGAGGAAGGAAGATGGTGAAGCATAAGATGAACCAGTGCAGTGTATAAAACACCACACTGGACAAAGAAGTGAAGAAGAGTGCACGCAAAGACAAAAGACACTTCTATGACACACTTGCAAGTGAAGCAGAATTGGCCGCAGGTAGGAGAGACAGAGACCTGGCAACATTGTATCAAATAATCAGGTTACTATGTGGTAGGGAAGAGATCAACGCAGATGAAACCAATGAAAGATAGTGAAGGGAACTTAGTTACCACCGAAGAGGAGCAACAAAGGAAACGTTAGGCTGGCCACTTCAAAAGCTCTTGAGTCGATGACCACCACCACCTGCAACTCGTCCAGAAATACCACCTGCAGCCCAGCCTTATAACTATAGGTTAACACAAGCCCTCTGACAAAAACAAAAGTGAAGTCCTGAACGCCATGAAGTTGCCGAAAGGCTGCTGAAATCCGGGAAAACAGAAGGACCTAGAAGATTTGGATTTCACCGATTATGATTTATGTGTAATGTCGCACAAGCTCGAAGACCTACAGGGGAAATCTAACACGGCAGAAGAGGCGAGGCGAGACTGCGAAGGAAGATAAAACTTCAAGTGAACGTAGCGAAGAGAGAAGTGATGAATATACTCAACCACCACCGACAACAGGCATCAATCACCATCAACGGGAGAAATCTAAAGGAAGCTATTTCTTTCATCTACTAACCTAGACAGCATCGTTTCAACTACAGGCGGTACAGGCACAGATGAGGACGTCAAAGCCAGGATCAGAAAGACAGCAAGACAGGCCTTCGTTCATTAACCAGAAATCAGTGTGGAAATCTACTGCACTCAGCGTGAAGCGTGAACAAGATCGGGATTTTCAACACTAATGTCAGTCAAGTAAGTCAATGCTTCTACGTGATGGTTGAAAGACTTGGCGCGTTACGAAGAGCATTTCCAACAAACTACGGACAGTCACCAACTGCTGCCTACGCTCGATACTGAAGATCAGATGGTCAGAATAATAAGAATAAGCCACAAGGAACTCTGGCAACGAACCAAGCAAGAACCTATTGCCCAGCAAATATTCAGAAGGAAATGCAGATGGATTGAGCATTCACTGAGAAGACCACTTGGGGACATTACTCTCCAGGCCAGGCCGTCGAATGGAACCCGATGGGGAAACAAAGAGTTGGGCGTCCGAGGTGAGAGTGACATGGAGGAGGTGGTGTGAGGAAGAAATGAAAGGTTATGAGCAGTGGTGGAGCTAGGTTGGATAGACTGGAGAGAAGAGAGTGCAATGGAGGAGTGCTACTGAAGCCCTATGTTCTACTAGGAACCCAAGGGAAAAATAATAATCTGTAGCGCTGACTGGCGAGATATCTGACTATCTATAAGAGGATAAGTATACTACACTTCAGTTCGCTCTGTCTTTTTGTACTCCTGTGAGATATTGTGGTTAAAAGTAGAAGATATGAAGCCGTTACAGGATTTTGATCACAGGTACCTTCGTATCAATACTCGAATTTGATGGAATCATTGTGTGGGTAATGTTGAAGTCAGGTGAAGGGTTCTAGACACAGCAGGTAATTCAGTCGATTGATGAGCTTGTGAACGTTCATCGACTGAGATGGCAAATGTATACAAAGAATGAATTGATACTTGGATTTGAGGGTGGTGGAACATGCGACAAAGGAGCTAGGAAAACGTTATCTCTCAATCTTTCGCTCAAAACCAAGCACACTGTTGAAAACAGCTTTTAAAGTTTTGTTAGAAAATTAAGAGATGCATACTCTTATGAATAATTTATATCCAAAACAAGGCGTGTAAGTGATATAATCTTGTTTTCAAGTTGGTTCTCTTCAGGCGTTACTCCGATATTGATTAGTTAAACACATATGTGTAGACTGAACCAGACACACCGATTTGTCTATCGGTAAGGAATGATTTAAAGTATAAGGACAGTAATGATGATCGTGATGATATTGAAAATAATGATTTTAACTGTCATCTTGCCAATGTTGACTAAATCAGTCCTGATATCAATGTGGTAATAATCATACGAACTAAGAAAATAGCATGAGAATGCTGATATTCCGATAACCAAAGTAGATGCAAAGTTTCAAAAAACAAAGGTTGCATTAGACACTAAACTAAGCCTTTTGGACTCATCGAGAGATGGGTGCAATTTTGTGTATCAGATCGGTTGTAGATTTCTTAATCTATACGTTTCTTGATCTCTTCATATGGTCCTGTTTTGATATTTTCGTCAGTTTAATTGAAACAATCAGATTTGTCTGTACCCGCTGTTGAAAATGCACTTAGAATTCTCCACAAGGCTGGAATTAAGGTTACATATAAACCTACTTTGTTAGCTTACGAATCCTATTGAACTAAATAAGGAAAATAGTTTGGTCTATCTAATACCATATACAATGACTATGAGGTCAAATAAATAGGTCAAACTAGCCTATGAGGGTCGGTTTGATTTTCGGAGCATAAAAAATTACCGAAATGTACAATGACTAGACCCCACTAAGAGCAATGAAAACATAAATGTCGCTCAGCATGTTTGGGGTGTTCACATAGAAACTCCTTAATAGTGCAGTACTCGTCAAAGGCATCTCTCTTACCGAGAGATATCACTAGGTCTAGGAATACAATTTGTTAGGCACCTGCATACTTTTCAGACTTTGTGCCCATTACACCTGGGGTGTAATCTTCTTGATTTTCTAGATAGTTTTATTCTAAGGCTCAAGGTAGTAAAACTGATCCCCCTGTATTTGTTGACAAATAATTTCCTTCCTTTATTATAAATTGCAGTTACCAATGATGGAAACTAGGTTGCCTAATTTCTGCAGCGAACAATTGGTAGCCTTATCACATTAACTAACTATCTTTGTCATTAGGTTTCACAAAGCGTATACCATATTAGACATTTGTTCGAACTAAGCCTAGTGCTCCATTTTTGTTTAGCGTTACCAAAATAAGATTTTAATTGAATCAATAATTCACTTGTCAACTTAATAAAGTAATCTCTGTCTTGAAATAATGTCAATTTCATATTCACTGTAACACTTGTCTACCGGTAGATGTGAAGAAACAAAACAAAACCATGGCATAAAGTTTAACAACATTTTTCAAAGCGATGAGAGATATTGAAATAAGTATGAGTAGCAGTTAAAATCATAACAATATAGCATGGGAAACCTCTGTATACATCAGCACATCTAATGCGTAGTCAATGGCCAAACTGTATAAACAAGATATAATAGTGTGGCAACAGGCAAACAATACATTAGAAGAAAGCCTGAATGTTTGGTGTGCAGTTTTCTACCAGCCTAACTTGTGCATCTAGACCTAGTATGGTTATAAAGTGTCTTTGCTAAAAACACTAGACATTTATGCCTCAGCTAGTCATTGAAATGTTCTGAGTTCTAAGGACTGTTAACTTCTTGGCATTGACAACGTACCGTGGAACCACCACGTAAATGATATGAAGGTTCAGAGAGAAGTTTATGGCTTTTGAGGTGTTTAGTTTGTGAGGTGGTTAGGACACATGCACTAGAAGCGTCTGTTCACCATGCGTTATGTTAACTGAAGTAGGCTCAGGCTAGGAGAAAGCTAAGGTTGATCAGTCAATGAAGTGTCTGACGGTTTGGGGCGTGTGTGTAAGGAAATGTAGTCTTCCTTGTTGAGGTGCACATGACAACGGGAATTAAGAGTTGCCTACTCTAGATGATATAGCTAGGAATCGACCTGATTAGTGCAGATCCATCTTCACATTTTATTCATCTTGGTCTTTGTATTAAATTTTTATTATTTTATTCCTTCGTTTTCTCTTTTCAGGACATTCTTCTATTACTGATTAACTTCTTCCTTATCTCTCTATATTTCATGTCTATGCTCTCTACATTAATGCGCTGATATGAGATAAGGAAATTTCGACTGTTATGCAGAAATGCCACGTTCATATTGACTGACTGAAGTACTTTATTCCGTCCACGATCTAATCTTCACTGTGTGCTCGAATCGTTTCTGTTTGTGGTGGAAAACATGCTTTAGCTTAGCTTAACTGGGACATTTTTGTGAGAAAAAGAATGACTACTCACATATATAATGTATGCAGTTAAAATTATTCGGAGTCAATAATATTATATAAATGAACTTGTTAAGTGTTTTCAGTAGTATTTTAACGTACTCAGGAGGGCTAATTTACATTTTTCAATAGCCATTGTGCTAGTTAGTCATGTGTTTTCGGTAGTTATTGAAGTATCTATAAATGAGGTCGGAAATTGGGGCATTTCATTGCACACCGCTATAACTAATGTTTACAACTGCATTCTCTTTTTTCAAATGTACCTTGAAATCTATATTCCATCAAAGTGTCGGGTAGTGATTACTAAAGCAGTTTTAGTATATACACTAACCATAAATAAAGAATAGTCTACGAAGCACTTAACCGTTCGTCCGAGCTGTGGATGAAGATGTTTTGGCTGTTGATTAGAATGCGGAAGACAGCTGAAATATATTATTGGATACTCTAAGTGATATGACTGAGGAGTGACCCAAATGTATCTGTGTTTTGTCGTAGTTCAAGCTTCAATATCATATCCCGTTATTACATTTATCTCAATTTCTTATCGCGCTGTACGGTTGCCTATGCCGTTATCTTCATTTCTGTATGCTTCCTCTTGTTAACTTCATTCTACATGTGGTAATGCGAACCGTAGCAACTTGAACCCTTATGCAATGACAGCAGACCTTAAGGTTTTTTATCTGTGCACGAAGTATTTTACTATCACTAGCGTTTTATGTTACTTTTTCGGGTAAAACAAAGATGTATGTTTCTGTGTTTCATTCAGTCTAGTTAACATGACTTATTCCAGCCGATATAACTTCAAAGCTATCAGGGTGTTTAACATCTCTTTTTTTTCATATCAGAGATGCATGTCCAAAAGAATGGCAGGCCTGTTGTAATCCAGCACGCTGTATGCTACGTGACGGTTCCGAATGTGCTGGTGGTCCATGTTGTGATATTATTAAAACAGATCCTTATCAGAATGGCAGTCAGTCAAGTATCCATTGTAAACTGAAATCTGCTGGTACTATTTGTCGTAATCAATCAGGTAGTTGCGATTTACCAGAATACTGTGACGGTCATAGTCAATGGTGTCCAGCAGATGTGTACAAAGCTGACGGTGAATTATGTTATACAGATGAAGATCGTCGTGTGAGTTTTAACTATTGAAAAATGACTTTCAGAAATATATGTTTAATAAAATGTTATTAGTAAGATAAATAGAATGACATAGTTCATATCGAATTCAAATATTTTCCCCTCATCATCCGTATGCTTATTTATTTACTGCTATCCCAATCACAATTATTACATAGTGGTTATTTATAAAACTTGTTCAGTTCAAACAGAAATAACGGGTATGAAAAACCTAACCGACTTTTGTCAACTTAAGTTATTCGCATCACCGATAAACTGTCCAAATATCAACCATAAAGAGAAAAGTATTTGTTCCAGTTATGTACTCTCTTTCAAGATACGATTATTGGATATGTGTGATAATGTATAGTATGCGAAATTCGCATTCATTTGAACCCTACTTTAGTGAGGATTGAAGCGTTTGGATATCTAACGTCAACAAGGTTTATCTGTTACAACTTTTGTAGGAGTTTATGAGTGCAAACAATTGATGCACAGGATACGATAATGGTTGTGCATCTGCTACTCAGCATAGTGTTTCAGATAATTATTCAAATATCCTAATTAGTTTGAATGTAGACAACGAAATTCTGCATTATCTGTTGCAACGCATATGCACATATGCATATACAACTATCTAACTTCCTTGTTGAAAGTCGCCTTACTTCTTATTCTCTTTGTATGACAAGTGTAATATGAATCAGACGTAATAACATTTTTCTGGAACAATAAATACAGTCTTTTTCTTTCATTTCCTACGATTTATCCACCATCTATATAATGTTCGACGCTGTATTACTGATATTGTAGTATGTGTGAAAATAAATTCAGGTTAGAATAACTGGATACAAAAGCTTCGATTGGACTTTACCAACTTACGCCATCTGTGGCGCCGCCACGATATTTGACTGTCCATTAAGGCTCGAGTGTACTGTGCTGCAGTCCGCTCTGTTCTACTCTATGGCTGTGAAACATAGCTATTACAGGTAGAAGACATGAAAAGGTTTCAGGTGTTTGACCACCACCACCTTCGTAGCATTGGTCGTATTCCATGGTGTCACCATGTGAGTAACGCAAAAGTCAGGTGTAGAGTTCTAAGCAGGAGAGGTAATTCAGTTGATGCGGTTGTCAACCTTCATTGAGTAAGCTGTCTGGGACAAGCGTTAAGTATGCCTAACCACCGTCTACCTCGTAGTACAATGTTGGCCGAAGTAGGTTCAGGCTGGGAAAAGGCTCAGGACGACCACACTAAAACATGACATCAATACACAAAGTCCTTGACTTTTAGTTGGAGCCATGTAGGGCGATGCAGACTAGTCAGTTGGAGTCCTCGGGATAAGAGAAACCAGTTGTTGGAGACTCTAGATGATATGGCTCAGAATCGATGTAGGTGGCGAAAATGCAGATACACATTATCCTTATCTTAACCGCTACACTTATCTCATCATCGTCTCATTCTTCTTTCCTCTCTTTTACTATTTTCTACCTCTACTTCTTTTCACTGACTTTCTTCTTCATCTTCCATTTTATTGCCTTGTTACTCGATATGGTGATATGAGGTGTGGCAACTTGGACAGTTACGCAGTAATGTCTGATACTATTTGATTTTGATGATGATCATGATGAGAATTACTGGTAACCGCTGGCTAAATGCTAAACACCGCCAATGTATTGAATTATATATTAGTATCAAGTAGCGTATCGTAACAATAAGTTAGGCAAACGATTATGAATATACTGAGGTTGAGAGTTTATTGCAGCTGACATGCTGTATGAATTGTTTTCACAGCGCAATACATGATTTAAAGGGAAGGTAAATCAAAATTTAAGTAGGAGTTGATTTATTAAACTGTGCATCACACTTACGCTTCGAAAGGCTAACGATGTTTACGCAAGCCTCAATGGGTAAAGTTGGCTTGAAATCCAAAACAATGTGGTTGAAACTGAACTGCCTAGAGCAAGGAGCCATAGATTTCAACCACAAGTTGTTAATGTTGTAGTGTGTTTATAAATCCTAGAAGAAATAAAAATCGCATTTCAATGGTGCCAGTAGTGTAATTATATAAAACAAATTCATCTTTCTTCTAATTATTTTTAAAAAGTTAATTGTTTGAAGGAAAAAAAACTATATTGCCAGAAACCTGAAATATTTGAAGATTCAGTGGAAGTTAGAGACAATTATGCAATGATTTTCTCCGTGTTTGGGAGGACTCATCATAAATTGGTTTTACCCGTATGCTTATTTTTGTAGTCTTCTCTTTTAATATCTAAGCCCAGTCAGTACCTACTTCATCGATAACTTGAACATTTTCAACTCAGTGACAATAGCTACCTGTTATGCAAATTTCATTATTGGCTACATACTACTTAAAGTAAATCAACTCATCTCAGGAGAAAAGAAAATTCTAATCATAATTAAGTCGATATTATACGTGATTATATATAGCCTAGTGGGAATTGGGTACATAAATGCCTGGCACATCGGATTAGTGTATACTATAAACAGATGCAATAAGTGCATTTTATTGTATCAATAATCTCGCTAATTACAGTGGAATCACCAATTCTTAGTATACAAGTGTTTAGCTCATTGTTCCATTGCTTGTCTAAATCATTGTATCAACTATTTTACTAAAGGATATATAGTACACTCACCTTATATGAAATACAAAAAGCATAACAAACAACTACAGCAAGAAAAAACAAACAAGTAAAAGCCGCAATCATAATTTATTTGTTGATGTAGAACTTGATAGATTCATTAGTGTTAACTTCGGTACAATGATGAATAAGTGATACTGTTACAACTGAGATTTCCTTTCCTACTTCTAGCATGAATCCATTACCAATCCGTTAAATAATGACTATTTTCAATTATTGAAGATTTTATCTGGAGGTTTGTCGAGGTTTATCAATTGATTTTAGGTTGGAACTTATCACGGACTGAATTCGGTTGGAGGGACATTGGAAATCTTGGAGCACTGAACATCTGTTTCGTCCTAGTATGGGACTCCTCTCCACCAGGGATCAAACCCACGACCTTTGGGCTCCGACCCAGTGACTCAATGGTAACGCGCTGGCCACGGAACCTGAAGGTCCTGGGTTCAATCCCTGGTGGGGTGGGGTCATGGGTGTGCATTGCCAAAGAGTCTCATACTAGGACGAAACACCTGTCCGGTGCTCCCAGGTTTTCAATGTTCCTACAACTGATGTCAGTCCGTGATGAATTCCAACCTAAGATATTGAGGATTTTATGTAACTGCTCAACCATTCACATATGGAACCAGCCTAGTTTATTAGATTTGTTCACTTTTCACTCACTGTTGTGCTTCCTATCTCTAAAACAGTTGGTTGTGTTTATAGGTAGACGGGTTGTCTGCCTTTCAGTTATTTAAACAGCTACTGTATATTTTCAACTGTTACCATCGGTAGACTGATACTTACTCCATGTTCTCTTATGTGTCCTCCCTTCGTTGTTTACGCTAGATTATAACAATAATGATAATAATAATAGTAATAACAACCAAGTGTTGCTAACAGAAAGAGTAAAACCGATTATTCACTAATTGTAGTAGCGATTACTATAAGATACATGTCGAACATGAGTACAGTCGGATAGTTCTTAGGGAAGTTAGATTAATTCATCGTATAAGGTTTACTTTTACTTGTGTAATCCCGGTGCAGTATATTCGAACAAATAATAAAATAAACAAGTATTGCAATATTTCTCAACATAATAATTTGTTGATCTACTACGTTCATCAAGTTTACGCTGCTTTCTGAGTTATATACATCTTCTGAACCATACCATCTATTATATAATCCTTTTTTTGTCATTCATACTTTAACTGTTATCAAAAATACCTCTATCATCATCACTACTATTGCAATCATTACCATCATTATGTAATCTTTGATGTTCAAATGTTCATCTGTCCAAAATAGTAATTGATTCTTTCACCTCTGATGACTCACAACCCCATTATACTTTTTATAGTCGAACTAAATTTCCCCACCCTACTTTTGTTTCACCACACTTACACAACTGGAAAAGCCTCTCTGACCTACTTGCTAATTACACTGATCTTTGTTCCATTTCACAATGTAATTGGATGATCGTAAAGGTCACCTTCTGTAGCAAACTTGAATATTAACCTGAAAACTTTGTATATATATATATATATATATATATATATATATATATATATATATATATATATATATGAGCTGATGATATGTGAAAAGTCTGATATACCTGCTGAAGAAGATGAACACGACTCATAATCACATAAGCCTTACTTGTGAAGATGATACGAACAAGTATCTACATAATACCTAATAGACAGGAGGATGGCTTGGTCAGACGGTTGATTTATAGGAAGCTTACGTGGATAGGTCAATATCTTAGTTTCCATAGCTATTGTCCAGTCCAATATAAACGAGGTTTAATTAAGCTCTTATTCAGCAGGATAAACTGCATCTGCACTGATGACTCGAAAGAGGAAAAAACAATGTTACTGACGACAATATTGAAAAAGATTGGCTCCCCGTTGAAATTTACCAACAGGTGAAAAGTTCCATCGCATTGAAAAGTATGCACTGTTCCGTTCTCAAAAATATGTCTACATCTTAATACCATTTAGGGGTGATTCACATAGCTTTATAGTGAAAAAGGCCATCTGTGAAACATATCATGCAGTCCACATCACTATAGAGAAAACAAAGACTATCTTACAACACAAACGACTGCATCACATCTCATAATGTTTATCAATTAACATACACATATACAGTAGGAAGTACTCGGTTTATGCAATGGTTGGTTGAACATGTACTTGAGTGGCTTCAAAAACAAACAACCTCAATAGAGCCAATAAGTGCAAGTGACAAACGTCCATCACCATCCACTACTAAACAAATACTCGAAACTAGTCACAGGGTATACATGAAAACAGCTTTTAAAGCACTACATAAAAGTGCTAAAATGTGTTTAAGTTCTGGTCACCTGTAAATTC